GAACATCAAAACTTTTAAAAACACAAAATTTCATCAAAACTTGAAAAAAAATGATCAAAACACAAAAGTTTGTGTATAACAAAGATTCACAACATGATTACGAATAGTTTGATCATGATTTTAACACAAAAACACAAAATTTTAAAGAAATTTCAGATCAAACTAAAGAAAAAATGAAGAACATAAAAAAAATTCAGAAACTTTTCTTCACAAATTCTTCAAAATACATTGATCTCTTCTTCTGATTTCTTGCATTTCCAACTCTGATACCAATTGTTTGTCCACAATGATCAATCTTCAAGTAATCTTCCAAGATTCAATGGCAAATATGGATATGAACATTAAGAACATGAGAGGAGAGTTGAGAGAAAAGGTCAAACAGTCAAAGTATTATATATCTCTCAATATGATACGTATGAATTTTACAATGAATCTCTTACTCAAAACACTCTAAGACTAATCTATTTATAGGGTCAAACAATAACCCTCAAAGTCAAAGTCGAACTAACAGAAAAGTCAAACACGATGACTTTTACAATTATAGACAATTTTATCTTTTCAAGACGAATACAATTTAACACTGATTTTCAGTCATAACAAATAATAAACAGAGGCCCAACTAACCAGGCCTGTTAATAACAAACCCAAGGACTTGAATCGGTGATAATAGGATAAACGCATCACAGTTCACAAGACGATTGGCTTTGCCGATTTGAAATTGATGATTTCTATTGTTCTTTAAGTGTTCGACTTTTTTATTTTTGATGATGACTTTCCAGTTCAGAGGAAGACGATTAACAGTAACGAGTCTAACGACTGTCCATGGGACGATAGATCGATCTTGATGATCAATCGATTCATTGTTGACTGCCCGACTATATATACTCAAATGCACGATTGTCGATTAAACTCTCAAATCTAGATACAGTCGATTGCATTTGTATTTCTTCAAATCTGGATTCTAGAACTGGAAGTGGAACTGTGGAAATCGATTGCATTGTTTCTCAAACAAATGTATGATTTTGTTTCTGAACTATAACATAGTAACATTTAATTTATTAATTTTGACATTATGTATTCAGTGTGTTTCCAATTGATACAAGCTCTCTTATGGTAATGATTGCTCACTTGCTGACGAATATTGTAATGGTGGAAACTTGGAAAAAAAATCCCTAGAAATAAGAAGATGAAATTAAAGCTTACTTGTCGATGATTTCTAGTGATTTTGGTATCAAAATGTCAACATTTATCTTGTCTTTATTATAATATCAAAAGCCCCATGAAAAATTGGTTAAAAATCGACCAAAAATAGCTGAAAAAATCAAGAAGAAAGCAAAACAAAAGTGGGTCAAGTTCACTTTTTTGAGCTTGTTCATTTGATTTTGGTCATATGTTCTATTACTATGGGTTCATTTTCATTATTAGTTGGGCTTAAACAGAATAAGACATGAGATTTGTTATTTAAATGATGATTAATTGAAAAACTGTTGTATGAATCTTGAAGTTGCATTAACAAATAGTGATGATTGTGATATTGATTGGAAGTATTTGTTTATGGAATTGCAAATTTTGCAAGAAATGTTACCATCGGAAGCATATAAAGGAGAAAAGCCATGGACATCAATTGAGATTTTGGAGTTTGCAAAGAAGATGGATATCTTTCCAAATGTGTGGATTGCATTTGCTGACTGTACTCGTCACGGTAGCATCTGCTGAAAAATGTTTTTCAAAGCTAAAGTTATTGAAGTCATATTTGCGGTCTACCATAAGTCAAGAAAGGCTAAACAGGTTAGCAATTTTGAGTATTGAAAGTAAATTTTTAGCTAATGTTGAATATGAAAAAGTAATTGATATTTTTGCTTCAAGAAGTGCACAAAGACATCGTTTTATGTGATATTTATATATATAGGGGCCTAATCAAATGAGAACTAATTAGTTTGTAGTAACCGTGAGATTCAATCTCAACTACAAATCAATAGATAAATTAGGAAATTTATAATTTTGGTAATTTTGAATTAAAATTTTAATGCAAGGACATTTTAGGTATTTTAAAATTCTCCTCTCTCTCTCTCTCCTCTCTTCTCTCTCCATCCCTCGTCCTCTGGCCACCGTCCTCCGGTGTTACCACAGTGGTTGGGTATCACAATGCATCTTATATGTGGTTGGGTATCACACTGAGGTCGTTTGTGTGGTCGATCGGAGATGTAACACAGTGGTATCACAATGCATCTTATATGTACTTGGGTATCACATTGTGTCTTTTGTTTAACAGAGTCAATATTTTTATGTATCACTGGAGGACAATGGCCGGAGGACGATGGTCGGAGAATGGGAAACGGAGAGAGAAGAGATGAGTATAAATATCTAAAATGTCTTTGCATTAAAATTTTAATTCAAAATTACCAAAATTATAAATTTCTTAATTTATCTATGATTTGTGGTTGAGATTGGATCTCAACGGTTACCACAAACGAGTCAGTTCTCTCTTGAATGGACCCCTATATATATATATATATATATATATATTGTAATTTGGGTTCTGGTTTTTATGTCCCCCTTTGTATTTTTCATTTTAATCAATAAAATTCGGCGTCGGGTTGAGCTGCCTAGCTTGACTAGGTTCCAAACCCTTTAGTAAAATCATATATTTCGTCATTTCATTTGCTTAAAAAATAGGCATAGGGGCATTTTTAGCATCTTCGCACAAGGCATCAAAAACCTCATGAACAACATTGAGTATCAAAATATTATTACATTGTTATCATAATAAAAATCACTTAATTTTATTAGAAGATTATCACATCAAACTTACATCATAAAAAATCTTCAATTTATCAAATCATTATCACGGAAAAATAAGATTATTATCACAGTATTATACATCATTATAGACAACGGACGCATCAGCATAAAAAGTCTCTAGATGATAATAACAAAATTTAAGGGATAAGGGTAAATCTAGGATAACAGAAAATTATAGATAAATACCAATTTATTTTCATTTATTCTAATTTTTATTATATGTTAATTAATTTAGAGGTCCAGAGGTGTTCTCGCATTTTCGTAAAACATGGGTATTCTCGTTTGAACCCTTCTCGCTATATATGTAAGTATGCATATATATTTATTTATTTCAAGATTCAGATATGAATCAGGGTTATAAGTTTAAATTGGTTTACCTACAAATTATGGTTAAAGTTCACATTTGATCTATGTTAGGATTCATAAACCCACATATGAACCAATATACATCTACTCATGTTGTATGATAATAGGTTTGTTGGAATTTTTTGCATTGTGTTTCATCTCAACAATGAATAACATCAATGTTTGTGTCTACACATGAGATTAAGACAACTGATGTTTACTTGATTTATGGATTGTAACATCGACAACATAATCGAAGATTGAATCGAAAATCGATGATTATTATTATTCAAAAACAGTTACATAAAAAAAATAGGAGATAAAATAAGATATATTTGATTTTTCCCATAATTATCTCAATATATTACATATATATCTATACTATATTATAAAACATTTAACAAAAACTCTTAAAAACTATTTTTATGCATGAAGTTACTATATATTTATGCATATTACTTAAAATTCAAGATTACAAGTAAATTGTGCGTAAATACAACGTATTAAAGCTTCATATTTGAATTCGTGTAACTAATTGCAGATATACATAATCAAATCGAGGATAAAAATCTTATTTTAAATATAAAAAATCTAAAATAACAAAATACTTGATTATTATCTTTATAAAAAATTATATTATTAAACCAAAAATTAAAAAAAATTACAGAAATATACAAAAAAAATAGTTCGTTTGGTATTAATATCAATATTTTTTTCAAATTTTTTTATGATATCTTCATATTTATATTTTATTCAAAATTAAAAATATTATCGTTTTCTCAAAACCACATAAAACCGTATTATGACATCAACTGAGACAAATAAATAAAATAAAACATTAAAATCGAAATGTATCTCGCTGCATCGTATGAATACCCTTCTAGTCTTTCAATTAAATAAGTGTTGGGAGATAAAATAAGATATATTTTAGGGTGATGAAAATGCTTACTTCTCACTCTCAAAATAAAATAAACCGATAGAGAGAGAGAGCAAGGATAAATGCTGACCGGAGTAAGAGGATGAAAGAACTTTGAAAGATTTTAAGGTTTTAATTTAAATCAGTAGTTTAATAGTTTACTGATATTGTCTCATTTTTTTTATCTTTGTTCCACCTACTTTGGCAGAACAAGAAAAAAAATTGTCTCAATTTTGTCCCGCGTTACATATTCAAATCTAATGTTGTGTCAAAATGAGACAAGAAGTTTTTGCTCGGTTATATTTCTCTGCTCCAAAAACATTGATAGCACGCATCGGTAGCGAAAATAGACTAGTAACGAAGAAACTTTTTCGTTCTACAACTACCATCAGTTTCTCATTCCGCAACGATCTCCCTCCTAAACAAATTCTTCAAAATCATCGAAACAAGCAACGATCAGTTTTCATATATACATACAATTAGACAGAGCCAACTCTATAGCCATCACCTGCAAAATAAGAATCTACTGTCCCCAAATCCCCTGTTTCATCAACTACGTGAATACGCATGATTATATAAATTATTTAATTCACCTTTTTATTCTCTCTCTTCACCAAATTGATGATCTCGCTTTACTTGCTTGGTGGAAAGGGAGGGAACGGGAAACTTAGAGCTAGTGGTAGCAAACCGGCATTTGCTACATACACAGGGCGTGTTCAAATGAAAACAGTATGAAAGTTGGAAACGTGGAAACAAATCTCGACCATTAGATGAATTTGATCCAAATGAGTGAGGTCTTAGCAGTAGAGGTGTTAGTGTAATCCATACGAGTGAAGTCCTCCATGATAACTGTGGGACCGGTGCAGTGGGGGCACACCATAAGGTGGGGTCTACCCACCCCCATGTTTTTATACATATACATAACCATATGAATTGCAGACAAAGGGGAGGTTTTAGTAGTCTTTCAAGCAACTAATCAAATATCGAAAAGCTTCAGTAAATTCCTAGTCCATAAATCTAAACACAAGCAGATTAGCGTATGGGTATATATCATTACAGCGAAACTTAAAATATTCAGATCACAAGAAAAAACATTACCAATTTGAACTATCGGGTTTTTGTTTTCACAAATTTGCCTCTCGAGGCTTTCTTCTCCATCTTCTCTCTTTTCTTTCGAGTCTTTTCATCCTCTTCAACTTCCTGTAGATTAGTGAACACCATGCATTTGATGATGCCAAGCTCTTAATAGATTCAAAATTATTAATTAGAGATAATAAAGGACAAATTCAAGCTAACTAAGCACCTGTGAACCTTGAGGGAGAAATCCCTTAATCAAACCCCAACCTTTATACACTGCAAATCCTGGTATCTGGAAAAAGAAAGAAATCATCTGTTAAGGAAGCTTCTAGTGGTTCAAGCTAACTACAACAGTTCCAGAAATACCCAAATTTAACAAGCATCTTTAAGTTTCAGGTAAGTTTAACATTTGGTATCGTAGCCTTTGGCCTCCTAGAAGGTCAGGCGTTCAAACATCACCATAGATGAGGAGGGTGTGTGAGTTTATTTATTGCATTTGCCGTATATAAATATTATATACTTCAAAAGAAAAAGAAAAAAAAGTTTAACATCTGGTTGTATTTTTTTAATGTTATCAAGAATTCCTCAGAGTAATGAAAAACTGAAGAATCTTATGTATCAATATTTTACTGATAAGTGAAGAGGTAAGTTTGGGATGAAATCTTCGAAGAAGAAAAAAACTGCATTTAGTTTGGGACGTTTTGCAAAAAAAGCATTGTTGTATTTCTGGGATGAATAATAAAATCAAGTTTCATTGAACTGGGTCTATCCGGATAATCTAGCATATAATATGGATGATACTAGAACCATTGCCTACTCTTGAGCATAGTTTGAACAATGATTCAATTTTGATCCATTCCTGCACACTTTCATTCTTCTTTTTTCCATTTTTGGCCTTTTTGAACGTAGGTCCATAGTCATTGTTAAAGATCATCTGCTATGCAGGGGCAAGTTACAAGGAATGTTTTTTTAAGTATATAATATTTATATACGGGAAAACAACACACACTCCTCAACATTAGTTAGACTTGAACCCTTGACCTTGACCTTGACCTCCAGGGAGGTCCGGCTCTACCAGTAAGTAGCCCCAACACTGCTGGGCCAATGACCCTTTGGTAAGTTATGAGGAATGTTTGTTGGAAACAAACAAACTCATGCCTGCAACACTGACCATCTATTGAATCTGGTTAAAGATTGAACTATCAGAATAAAGTTTAGCCCAACTGAGGTCTCCACTCGGCCACTCAACCCATCGTGTAGGAATTAAAGCAGACAAGTCTTTCATCAAGTACTAAGGATAACAGATAAACTGACTTCCATGCATAATAGGCAATGCAGCGGTTGCTTCTACACTAATCAAGGTGGTTCATAATTTCCTACCAAATAAAAAAATATTGAGTTTCCTTTATACTTCTGCTTTGCCTACTACAATATTTTGCTACTTTTGCCTTCGATATTTCATTCTTTTTATCCACGCACAAAAGAGGAATATGTAGTCCTGCCATGTTTTGATAAAGTTGCTCTCGGCAAAATGACTTTTATGGATAAAAAAAAGTCAAAACAAAAATCTTACCACAGCATATATCCACCAAAACTTCCCAGAGATGATAGACATGAGTTGCACAAAGCAAGTAATGTAGATAACATCATGCAGGTATCTGCAGAGAAAACATAAGAGGATAAGACTAACAAACTGATGAAACAAAAAAGTAATGTAAAATATGCCACTCCATTTGGATTGCATCTTGCTGAGTTTATATGATCAACTGTATCAACCAATCAACTGTTTTACAAGAGCAAGAAATGTAGCCAGTAGTTCAATGAAACGTAGAACAACCAAAGTCTTAAAGGGCAAGAACTGTAGTCGATGTTTCGAAGAAAACACAGCATAACCGAAGCCTTAAGTGTTGTGTTGGTTGGCTGTTTTCAGAAAGTTCAAAGAACTATAACCAATGGTTCACAGAAAACATATTATAATGGAAGTCTTCAACGTTTTGTTGGTTGACAGTGTCTTCATAAAGTCCACTATTATAGGAGACTTTTAAATAGCCATGATAACAAAATGCGAGAATGTGAGATACACTGAAACAAATTTGTTGGCAGATTGTATTGCAATGAACTAATCAAATGATTTCCAGACTTTCGAGAGGTCTGGAGTCTCTCCCACAGAGCTTACGCTCACTTACAATTTCATAAGAGCAAAACAGAATGACAACTCCCACAAACTATCTCAACTACTTAAGCTATACGCTCTCTTATTCAGAAAAGGAAAAGTACCAAACTACCCCTCTTCCTATATTTATTATAACAAAACTAAACAACACACAATTAATTCCTTCTCCTGTAAGTGAACCGCAAAGGAGGTTCATCAATACCCCTCCCCCCCCCCAAAAAATTTCACCTTGTCCTCAAGGTGACTGTTAGGAAACTGATGTAGTAACGGCTCAAAAATTTCCCAAGACGCTTCAAACTCCGACATTCCTTCCCATTTCACCAATACTTAAAACTGCCCCACATCACCATTCGTCAATGGTCTCATATCCAAGATATCCTCAGGCACAGCTTGCAACACCAAATCTTCTGAAATCTGAGTAGGAAAATCTTGAGACGAATTGCAATTTCCCACAGCTTTCCGTAACTGAGAAACATGGAAAACCGGTTGCTGTACTTGGTAAATCCAATCGGTATGCCACCTTCCCAATTGCTCCAGCACTCTATAGGGGCCATAAAATCGAGCTAACAGCTTAGGACTATTCCCCATAACCAGCGATTTCTGTCGATACGGTCTTAATTTCAAAAAGACCTAATCCCCTACCAAGAATATTACCTCCTTACGTTTCAAATCAGCCTGTTGTTTCATACGAAATTGCGCTTTAAGCAGATGCAATTTCACTTCGTCCAGAATTTCATCTCTATCGATCAGTTCCTGATCCACCAACTGAAATTCGATGAAGCCGTTTTATAACGGAGCAAAGGAGGAGGATCTCTTCCGTACAACACCTTAAACGGAGACTCCTTAAGAGCTGTATGGTAGGATGTGTTATACGATAGTTCAGCCCATGGAAGCCATTTGCACCATTGTTTAGGCGTAGTCGACACCCAACACCTCAAATATTGCTCCAAACAGCGATTTACTACTTCGGTTTGTCCATCTGACTGCGGATGATATGCTGAACTGTACTTCAACTTTGTCCCTGCAATCGGAACAGCTCTTTCCAGAAATTGCTAAGAAACACCATATCCCGATCGGAAACCACCGATTGAGGAATGCCATGCAACTTTATGATCTCTTTAGCGAATGCTTCAGCCACCGATTGTGCATTGAAAGGGCGTTTCAAACCAACAAAATAGGCATACTTACTAAGTCTATCCACAACTACCATAATCGCGCTCATTCCGTTCGACCAAGGAAGACCTTCGATGAAGTCCATTGAAATCTCGTCCCATACTTTTTCAGGCAATGACAAAGGTTGCAACAAACCAGCTGGGCTGCCACTAAGACTTTTATTCCTTTGACACACATCACATTAACCATCTCAATTATATCCTTCTTCATCCCAATCCAAAAAACTTCGGATGAAATACGTTGATATGTTCGATCCACTCCCGTATGTCCCCCAATTGGAGAACCGTGAAATTCGTCAAATATCAACGGGAGCATTTTAGAAAAACGAGGAATAACCAAACGTCCTTTATACAATAACAGCTCCTGCTGAATCTCAAACCCCTTATGCTCAGCTTTTCCCGATATTAGATCCTCCTTTATGTGGTTCAAGAAACTATCATCAGCAATCTCCTTTTTAAGATCGTCCCAGTTTCTCCTTTGAAGACTCCCTATATTCGCCAATTCCACTGATTCAATCTTACGAGACAGCGCGTCTGCAGCTTGATTGGAACTACCAGGTTTATAGACGATGGAGAAATCATAGCCCAGCAGCTTGCTGACCCACTTCTGGTATTCCGGTTCCACAACTCGTTGCTCCAGCAGAAAACGAAGGCTCTGCTGATCCGTACGCACTACAAATTTTTTTCCCAACAAATACGGTCTCCATTTCTTTATAGCCAACACAATGGACATCAATTCTTTTTCATAAATGGATTTCTGCTTCACTCTCATCCCCAAAGCTTGGCTAAAATATGCAATCGGATGTTCATCTTACATAAGGACTGCTCCCAAACCGTAACCTGAAGCATCCGTCTCGACCACGAAATCCTTAGAAAAATCAGGAAGTCTTAACACCGGGGTTGACGATAGCATTTTCTTCAATTCAACGAATGCTAACTGCGCTTCCTTCGTCCACTGAAACTGGTTCTTTTTAAGAAGGTCGGTGAGTGGTTTGGCTAACATACCATAGCCCTTTATAAACTTTCTGTAGTAACCAGACAGCCCTAAGAATCCTCTCAATTCTGTTATCGTCTTAGGCTCTTCCCACTCCAACATTGCTTTGATTTTAGACGGATCAACTTCTACGCCATTTTCTGAAATTACATGACCCAAATATCCCAGCCGATCCAAACTCGCATTTCTTCTTATTCGCGAACAGTTGATGTTGTAAAAGAACCTCCAGCACCTTCCTTAAGTGTACCTGATGTTCTTCAAGAGTTTTGCTATAGACTAAAATATCATCAAAAAAGACCAAAACGAACTTCCGCAAATATTTCTTAAAAACCTCGTTCATCAACCCTTGAAATGTCGTTGGAGCATTAAGAAATCCAAAGGGCATTACCAAGAACTCATAATGCCCTTGATGAGTTCGGAAAGCCGTTTTGTAAATGTCTCCTTCCTTCATTCGAATATGATGGTAACCCGATTTTAAATCGAGTTTAGAAAACACTACTACTCCATACAACTCGTCTAACAGCTCTTCAATCACCGAAATCGGGAATTTGTCAACAATTGTCACCTTATTTAAAGTTCGATAATCGATACAAAATCGCCAACAGTAACACCGGACTGGAAAAAGGACTCATACTCGGCTGAATGACTCTAGCCTCGAGCAATCCTTTTACCAATTTTTCAATCTCGTCTTTTTGGTAGTGTAACATTGATTGTTCCTGTCCCTTCTTTTAAAACAATATTGTGCTCTCTTCCCCTTTCCGGTGGCAGCCCTGTGGCATGTTGAGAACTGAATCAAATTCCCTTAGTAATGGATCCAAAACAAGTAAACAACATTGGATTCTGCTATCTCTCCCGATAACGCTGAACAAGTGCCCAATTCAACCAACACAACTTGTCCTTCATGGTTGATTACTTTTCCAATAGCTTTCAACGATATCATCGATCGCCCCAATGACGGGTCTCCCCCTAATGTGACAGATTTGCCTCCGCAAGTGAACTTCATTACTTGCAATTTCCAGAAGTTGCTCCTAACGTTTCCAACCATTGCATCTCCAAAATCACGTCACTATTACCCAATCCCAATGGACGAAAATCTGGTAAAAACAGAGTTATACCTCTGCAAATCCCATCTCCTTTCTCTATATTTCCAAATCCTAGAGTAATAGTATATTCACCAGTGATTTCCACTTTTAAATTTTGTCGTTTAACTAAATCATTCAATATAAAATTGTATGTTGCACCGCTGTCAACTAACATGACTACTTTCTGCTCACCAATCCTCCCCTCCATCTTCATGGTTTTAGGATTAGTTAAACCAACAACAGAATTTAAATGTACCTCCACCTTGTTGCTTACTTCAACTGCATTCAAAACTCTTTCCTCTATGTTTGGTTCTGTATCATCTGGTAAATCCTCCTGAACTAACAAAACATTCATCTCCTTTCTTTTTTTTGATTAACCTGGATATCCAACCCGCTATGTGAGCCGACTAATCCCAGGGAGACCACCTGCTTTGCAGATAGCCCGGAGTCACCGCATTTGAACCTCCGTGGCCACAAGGGGATTTTTATTCCTCCTTGGATTTGAACCTGGAGCATACTTTTCGTCACAGCGGTAACACAAACCCAATGCTCTCCGCTGCTGTACTTCCTGATCTGATAGACGACAGAATCCAGATCCCTATTTATTCGTCGAAATCGGTGAATTAACAGAACTCACTGTGCTATTAGAAGAAGTATACGAAAAATTGCTTTTCGAGTTAGAGCTAGGATGGACAAACGAACTTGTTCTCTTGCTAGTAACAATGGATTTATCTCTTGCTAACCCCTTGTTTTTCAAATCAATTTTCATGGCCACCTCCATTGCTTCGCTCAATGTCAAAGGATTCATCAATCTCAATTCTACTTTAAAAGACTCCTCCGCAATCCATTAATGAACTGACTTAAAAAAATCTGCTCTAGAATTCCGTCTAACGGTGCCGCGAACTCCACAAAACGCCTTCTATATTCATCAATCGATCCATCTTGCCTTACCGCTAGGAATTGCTCACATAACGATCCTGCTGCCAGAGATCTGAATTACCTCAACAATAATTGCTTCAAATCCTCCCATCTGGTAATTGGATGTTGTTTATGCTCCCACTGAAACCACTTCAGTGCATCTCCTTCAAACGAAATGAACGACACATCGATTTTTTCCTCCCGACTCAATTGATTCAACGTGAAGTATCGTTCCGCTCTTAAAATCCATCCATCTGGATCCTTGCCATCGAAGATAGGAATCTCCAATTTACACCCCTTAGCAGCTAAAAATCGATTCTGATTGTTACAATTTATGTCTCGTCAATCAGATCTCGCTGCAACTTCCTCATCAGACGAATTCGTAGCGTTCGATTTATTGACAAAATCGTTCCTCAATTCTTCAATTTGTTGTACAATAAGCTACAAATTCCTTTCAATTGAACCCACACTACTCTCCAGATCTTCAATTCGATTGTTTGCGCTTCGTGTAGTAACATTCGCCATGCTGGACCGAAACGTGCTCTGATACCAATTTGATATACACTGAAACAAACTTGTCGGTAGATTGTATTGCAATGAACTAATAAAATGATTTCCAGATTTGCGAGAGGTCTGGAGTCTCTCCCACAGAGCTTACGCTCACTTACAATTTCATAAGAACAAAACAGAATGACAGCTCCCACAAACTATCTCAACTACTTAAGCTATACGCTCTCTTATTCAGAAAAGGAAAAGTACCAAACTACCCCTCTTCCTATATTTATTATAACAAAACTAAACAACACACAATTAATTCCTTCTCCTGTAAGTGAACCGCAAAGGAGGTTTATCAGAATGCACAAGTTGTTATAGGAGATATTTAAAAGGCTGGACAGTGATCAGCTTTTGAAAAACATGATAGGCTTTCGAAGCAAGCTTTACACCAGCCATAGTACTAAATTCACAATCTTTAAGGTCATTAGCTGCCAGTAGATGCCTAACCATAGGAATTACCATGTAAATAACTTCGTGAATGGAAGAGCAGTCATAAACCATGACTGTTGGAGAAATCAAGCCCTACTTGCAACAAGAAAATCCTGCGACTACAGATTAACCCCACAGTGACCAGATCAGAAGTTCATAACCACCTCAGAAAGTTCTAGGCTTAATTCTCCATGGAGATGTCATACGTTTCATGGCTCTAGTAATCATTTCCATAACTTCCCTTGTCAAAAATGATAATTATTTCACATACCAGTGCGGGAAGTTGACAAAGAGACATTAGGACCAGAAACTGCAATTGAAGAAAGAGACGACATCCTAAAGTATTTACTAATGGTTCTATAACATCTAGGATAAAAAAGGAATGAGAGCCAGTAAATCATTTGACCATCTATTTGTTTCTTTTCTTTTCTTTTTATTGATGGAATTCACCTCAACTGAGAAATAACACCGTTACTGGACAGTTGAAACTCTACTAAAAATATGCAGGTTTTCATTTTGTTAAACACCATGACCTCTACTATTACATAGAATGATTAGTTTTATTAAAGAAAAGGTATGAGCTCTACTATGCAACAGCACAGGTTAAGAGACTGCTGAAATGGCTGGTACCATCTTCAAGACAAAAAAAATGCATACCCACAAGCTCCACCAGTACTCATATCAAATCCACCATCTAAAAGGTCGCCATTATCAGTATAGGTAGGCTTTGCCATTGATGCCAGTTGTTTGTAGCATAGATAGTAGGCACTGGAAGTCAGTATAAGGCCAATCCAATGTAGCCATGTAAAACTGGAATAGAAGAACCCTGCCCTTAAGATGACATAAATGGCCTACATAGCATCAACCAGTAACATATCAGAAAAAGCAAAAAAGCACAACATTATATAAGACTTCATATATGTACAAAAAGGAAGATGGAGGAGGTCAATGATATTCAATTAAATAGATAAAAAAAGGAAACATTTATCGATATGATTAAGCAAAAAAGTATGTGAAGACATATGCAGAACAATTGTATGTCTGCAGGAATCTCCCACATCCATGTAAATTGATACTATACAAGATGTGCTTCAAGATTGCCTCCAACGGAAATACCAATTAGGAGTTTTGCATCCCTGATAATGCTTCCAATATAAACAAACTGAATATATTATGTCTTTAACAAATGTGACAAGTCGGATGGGACATGAGTCTGCCTCAACCTCCACAACCCGACCCCACAGACGCAGAGGAGCCTCATCAAATGCACCTCTCAAAATCATGCTATACAACATATCAAAACAAAACTGTTGCCTTAAAAAGAGGACATCCATAGAAGACTGATCAAAACCAAACATCAAGCCAAGTATCCCACACTCCCATCCACCACAAACATGTTGAAGCATCTGGTGTTTAATAACCTAATACAAAAATCTTCCATTTCCATTCACCCTTTATAAACATGTTGCCACGTAGACACGACTAAAAGTCTTTGAGATCAATGTTCAGGTCGTGCAAAATATCAAGACTAGCCCAAAACTCTGGTCAAGAGTTGAGATTTCGGGGTGAAGTGAAGGAGATAAGCAAGTCAAATAGCTGATATGACACCAAACACCAAGAGCAGTGTTGTGACTATAGTAATCATTTGGATTGATCTAATGAAGCATGCTTACAAACACTCCAAATTTTGAAGAAAATAATACATTTAAGGTTGGACAAGCAGACAAATACATTGAATATGTATTCTAAACAATAAACCACCTGCATATTCATAGACTTGGTTTAGCATTGTACAAAACTACATGTCACAAAGGCACATGCATATATGTCCTATTCCAAATAAAAAAGGGTACTAACTCCATAGGGGGGAGACAAGATGCACACCTTGATTTCTCTCAGGTTCAACCTACAGCCTTTCATATCCAAAATTTCAGTTACTACTTTCTATTTACAGTGTCTAGAAACTTTAAAGTAGTTATCCAAGTTTCATTTAAGCAATTTAGAATTCAAATCGCCCCTGATGTTGAATTAGCCTGCAAGTAGCACTAATTTATCTATCTTATTCCGGCAACATAGGGAGTCCTCTATATTTACTCGTAACTGTTGCTGCTTGTAAGATCGTTTCTACATTGACAATTCAAAATCAGATGCAACACTTCTAGTCCCTACTCGTATACATGATTTTCGAATCAATTGACAAAGGATTCGTAACAATCACTTAACATAGTGTTCTAAACTAAGATCAATCTCGTGATTACCATGAAACCGATGTTGTCAAAACCAAAATATTGGATACCAAACAGTTTCATAAACTAACAATGCATAAAAGGATGTATATAGATAAAAGAAGTATGAAAGTTTACATTGCAGGCGATGATGATGCGAAAGAGATTGTTCATATGACGAGTGTTCTCTTCCCTTCGCTTCTTCGCACCTTGATTTGCCATTTCTCCGAGCTCTCCGCCTTGCTTTTTTTTCAGCCGGATTGATTTGACTGTGTCAAAATTGAAGAAAGAGGGGGAAAATGAAAAACCCTAGACCTGGAGAGTGAGAATTTGGGAAGAAGAGATGTTAAGGTGTGAACTCTTAAATGCCTGCTCTTTGGTTGCGTTCAATCTGCCATTGTTGACGCGTAGTAGCGACTAGCGATGCCAGAAGATATTGGACATGGATTTTGTATGTTTTAATCATCATATTTTTAAGTTTGTCTTGAACATCAAAATATATTGGTTGGGATGTAAATTACTTGAAAAGTGTTCACCGAATTCTCTGTTTTTTATTGGGTAAGATTTTCGGTCTTTATCATATTTTTACCGGACAATATTTCGGATCATTGCAATGTTCATTCAATAAGATAATTGATACCCGATAAGCATTTGGCAAACAGCCCTTAAATGAGTCTACTTTCATTACACTTAGAAATTTAATGAAAAATTGACTCAAATGACCATATTCCACAACCAGACTAACCTCCTAATCATTTATCTCCGGATTTTACCCAAAAGCCATCAGGTCCGCAATTATTACTGACCAACAAAACGACAAAAAGATCAACGTTTTTGGACCAGGTCTGTAACCATCGGTCCGCAACTATTATGATTCGATCCAACACCCATTTTCCTATGAATCGGTCCACCATCGGAAATGGGTTTTGGGCCGGATCTCGTAATAATTACAGACTTGTGGTTACGGACCCGAGCCAAAAAAACTCTAGAATTTTGTCATTTAGTGGGTCCGTATCAATTGCAGACCTGGTATTACGGACCTAGTGACTTTTAGGTAAAGTCCTGAGAGAAATGATTAGGAGGTCAATTTGGGGCTGTGGAATATGGTCATTTGGGTCAATTTCCCCCAAATACTTGCTATCAAACTAACGGAGGTATAAAGGAAACAAATCTTGTATTTCATATGTAGATGCATGGTTTGTTTGATTTGAAGAATATAACGTATGCAAGACATTTGGGATAGAGAGATTGTTTATATGATAAAAATGATTGGATATTGAAACATTTGAGTTTGAAACTTGTCCAAAATGGATATTTCAGAACAACTTCCATTGAACGAAGATCGTGAGATCTTAACAAGCAAATCATTAATTTTAAATTGAGACCATCCATTTTGGCAAGATAGGGTGACAAAACGTATGACCTAAGGAATAAAACGTATTCAAACTGTTTCGTGATAAAAAAACTAGTTGGATATTGAATTGTTTGAGGTCAAAACTTGGGAAAAATGGATATTTGCAACAATTTGCATTGAATGAAGATCATGAGAACCAAGGAAATCATTAATGCTAAATTGAGGACGCCCATTTTGACTTATAAATGGTATCAAGAAAACAGGGTTGTAATGGGTACCCTAAAACCTTCGTCAAGGAAACGATTGTGTGTCGCTGAAATGCCAAGGAGTGGATAAATCAAATTTGGGCTTTAGATTGTCTTGTAAACTTGAGATGCTACATGCGAGTCAGACAGTCAAGGAGCAAACATCGTGTCGCTCCAATGTCAAGAAATATTGAGATTTGAGTTGTCCTGTAAACTTGAGATAGTACATGTGAGTAAGACGGATAAGAAGGGTACACATAGATCGTTGTGTTGTAAGTGACCTTGCTCGTCACAGTTTAAACTTTTTTACGATCCTTAACAGTGCTACAATTGTAATTTGTTTTGTGCTACATACAAAGGCAACTCGCTACTAGAGTATGTGGATGTGAGTCATTGGAATTAGTCCGCAGATGAAGAGAACCAAGAATCAAGAGTGGCTACTATACAATATTTGTGAGAAGGGCAAATGATGAGTGTCAAGGTAGAAGTACTAGAGTAGATCGCAGAGCCCACATCAATGGATTCGATCGATGGTTGGCCATCAATGAGGGTCACCGAAAGGCGACAGTGTGTAAAATCCTAGAGTTAACGATAAAGTCTAGCCTCTCAGGAGATTAAGGATTCAAACCTCATCAAATAAGAGGAACACACATAAGTATTTGCAGTATATAAATATTATATATGCTTAAAAAATTACATGATCTTTAGAAATTTTAATACCATCAAATGAATATACTTACACCTATAAACAACATTTTTTAGAAAAGAAAATTATCTATAATATATTATAAAGCATTTACGTAGAACTCTTAAATACAAATTATAATACATAACATACTAATTTTTAATGCATATTACTTAAAATTTAAGAGCACAAACTAATGATGCATTAGTACAAGTTACTAAAGCTTCTAACTTTTGTTATCACCCCCAAACCCACCCACAATGTTCATCGATATCCATTTCCCTTAAATATATGCCTAACTAACTAATATCGATAAGGATCAATTCTAATAAATGTTTATCTCAATTCTTTATTTCTTTGTTAGTGTTTGCTTATTTATATCTCTACAAAATTAGATTACTTTGACTTCTTCATCTATGTTTAATTCTTCAAAACCTTAGATCCTTGGACTGTATTTTCCCATCTCTATCTTGAACTAATTTTGATTTTTGTTGGCAGATGCATTGGTAATATTTTTACAACTCAAGAGTTCAAGCCTCATCAAAGGTAAAGTATAAACTTGAAGAAAGTAGTGATACTTGTACCGATATAATTTTGATTTTGATCTTTTGTTGACAGATGCATAAGTTAACTATGGTGACTTATTGGATAATATGTTTTTCATGCTATAGTATAGAAAGGTTAAAGTTTCGTATAGTGGTAAAGGTGGATGTCTGCTTCGAATTTGGCCATGACCTATTATCTATACTATATTATAAAGGATTTGACAAAAACTCTTAAAAACCATTTTTGATGCATTAAGTATTGTTTATTGATGCATATTACTTAAAATTCAAGATAATTAAATCGAGATGTATCTCGCTGCATTACGCGAGTACCATTCTAGTATTACAAATATATCAATATTCTTTTTGTTTCATGATAATTATAATGTTTAATTTACCATGTCTATAAATTTTTTATATAAAAGTTCAAACAATTCAATAGATTGGTATGAATTTTATAAAAATACAATTTTTTTCAATCAATATAATTTAAATAAAATGTTGTGATAATTTATTTTGGGGCAAATTACACCAACAAGGCTATAAAACAATTACTTTTATTGGATTGACATTTTTTTGGGCATAGTTACAAAAGGAACTTATAAATGTTCATAATTTTGAAAAATGTGTATTTAAGGATGTAAAGTTTTAACAATGTTTATATTTTGTAATATATGTGTTCAAAAGAAATGCTCAAAGCATAGACCATTATATAGTCTTTTGTTTTCAACCACATACTCTAAACTTATTACAAGCCATGAGATCTTATAAATCTTTAGAAATATATTCTTTAAAATGATAATCAAACAAATGCATATTGTATATCCTTGTAAGGAATATTATAACATCTCAACTCCCATTTGCATAAAACACATGTTGGTCCTGTTAGGGTCTACAAGATGTGTATAACAATTTGTAAAAGGGGGGATGAATACAAACACAATAAACTTTTCATATTTAAGATATATATTGACAAAGAAGGATCAATATAAATTTTACAAGATTGTTTGTGAAAATATAAGGTAAATAAAACATATCTAAACAATCTAAAGTTACACATTAGTTCTTAGCAAATAGAGAAAAGATTTGTTGTAAAAGACTTAGAAGGAAATAAGTTCGTTCTGGGTAAGAACTATTTAGAATACTAAAAAGGGATTCTAACTTGCTTTTGAAGATAAGCGTATTATGTTCTTAGATGTGTGTTCTTTTACTTATGAACGTGAGTTAGGGTTCAAGAGTAAGTATTAGAGTATCTCTACATGAAGATAGAACACATCTATTTATACATATTGCATTAAATGCACATTTAGTGCAACGTAGTAGGGTTTGAACACGTGTCAAGCCTTTAGAGAAAGACTTGTCATTTGCTACAGTAAATAGTACAAAAGCCTATTCATGAGCAGACATCATTTCATAAAGTTGGTGGGTAGTTGAGTCAACTAATCGGCTATGTACCGTATTATACTTTAGAAAAGGTATGAGTTTGTCCTTTGTGTGTATAAGGATAAGACAAAAGCAATCGTGCCCAACAAGCTTCTTTTGAATGCTGAATGCTGGAATAAGGTCTCTTCAGCATTCGTTGAGGCTTGGGCAGTCTTCACACATGTGTAGACCAAGTTGTAATCACTGAATACCGCTTCAGATCACGTACTCACCAGTCTCTAATTTTTAGTTTCAGTCTTCGACTTTCGCTGAAGGTTCTTTGGTGTGAGTTTTGTCTTCTTGAAGTATTGTTGTTGCTGATGGATTTATATTACAAGTTCTCGGCGATCACTGAACACACTCAGTGATGATCATTGGAACTGAAAGACAAAAACATAAAATACTTCGTATAAGGTAAAAGGGATTATCATCAAATCACTGAGAAAGAGGATCAACAATCTCCCTCTATTTGATGATAACAACACAACATAAAGAAAGTTGTCTTATCAAATAAAAGTAAGAAAAAGTTACATATAAAGTACATGCCCCTTTTAACTGTTTTGGGATCTTTTTCATTGAGTTAGTCTTTACTTAGAAAATTTTCTTAAGTTTAAGTCTAAGAAAAATTACAATAAGGGAAACTGAAATTGAAAGCATATTCACTGACTTATAGATTGTCAGTGAATGTAAGAGTAACACTGGAACTCATATACTTGTGTCCCTATTACTCTTTTCAGGGATCTTTTTCAATGATGCACAGAAAATACTTATATTAAATTCAAGGGAAATATTACAAGTGTTTCAGTACATGTCTAGACTTACAAAATATAAGACTAATCACTGAAAGTAGATATAGGATATAGTTTATAGTACATGGACAATATTACAAAGGAAATAAACTAGTCTAAATCGCTCAGCTTGATGTAACCTGATACATTTTCTCCAAGCTCCTTTTCGACGTAGAAACTTCATTTTTATCTTTTGGTCCATAACTCTTCCTCTTAAGTCATCATCTAGCCAGAACCTGAGATATACGAGGTGTTCCATAGGGCATAGAAGTAACTTAGACATTCTCTGAAATCTTACTTCACCGTCATAGTCAAGGAATATAACTCCAGAGTCAGGTTTGAAGTGCATAGTGTTGGGCACATAAGGACCCTTCGCTGGCAATGTAATATTCAACATAGAGATGTCTGGACTCACAGAATCCTTCAGGAC